TTTGATGGGTGGAGTTGGAGAAAATCGAAGTTATAGAGGAGATTCTGCCCGAATTTATATAGACAAGTCACTAACTTAGACGATTCAAACTAAGTTCCTTATTGGCATTAATCATAGACTTTGTTGTATAATGTAGATTGAGTTGTATTGTGCATTGCTTGGAAGATATTGAGGAGACTAGGATATTGAGACATGTTAAGGCTAAATCTTTCCTTTATATTGGTATAATCCCGTAACTAAACACGTTTGATAATGAGACACAAAGAGAACTTCGTATTTATGAATTTATTTACATTATCCTAGTCTCATAAGTTATGGTGTTCTCCCTTATGGGGACTTTATATTCAACCAAGTGTTATCTTCTTTCAGTCAAGAGAGCAAGCGGTTTAAATATATAGTATTATAGTATTTTTACCACGGTTTAAATATATAGTATTATAGTATTTTTACCACCATCGAGCTATAATCGGCCGGCAGGTCTCTATTGGATAACCTCTAATCAGATTGTAAGTTATATACTGAGCCTACTATGAACAAGCGCCTATGAGTGAGCCTAGAATAGCCGAGAAATGATTTAGATACCGAGTCTACTGTATTCGAGTATCTATGAGTGAGCCCAGAATGGCCGGGTAGTGATTTAGATACCGAGCCTACTATGGTCGAGCGCCAATAATCGAGCTTACTATGGCCGAGAAATTACACGCAACGAGCCTTATATGGCCGAATAGCTATCTTACTTCCTATATTGAGAGAGATGGGTCAAAATCGGCAAGTAAGCATATCTTCAGATCATCTTTGACTCCCAGTTACTTTCAGTTATTATATTATCAGTTCAATTTTAGCTTTCAGTTATTCTATTTCTTTACATACTCAGTACATTATTTTGTATTGACGTCCCTTTTATCGTGGAAGCTATTTTTCTTGCCTGCAGGTTTTGATAGACATCCGGATAGACCTTCCTAGTAGACAGATCCAGACATCAGCTTGATTGGTAAGCTCCACTCTCCCAGAATTACTAGGTCTAGACTTTGGAGTCCATTTTGTATATACAAACTTGACGGGTAGGACGAGAACCTGTCGTGACCATGATACAATTCTGTTATCTCTAGAGGCTTGTATAAGAGTCCTATATATTTTGTATGTTAGTATTGTGGCCTTACCAACCCTGTATAGATGTTCAGTTTAGAATTGCTGGTTGTAGACATTCATGACGTTCTCATTGGCCTGCACAGTTATGTATATGAGCTTTTGGGCATGTTTACCTTTCAGATGAGATAGATGTTATTTTCAGAGGATTCAGAATATGGCCTCGTCGATCTTGATTGGTACTGTCATCTCGCATGTAGGTCTCGTTGGTCTATGTTGAGGGCTATCCCTCCAGAGTTCACAGTTAGAAAGTATTATGTTCGAGCTGAGTATGGCATCGAGTGTCGGCCATGCCTCCCAAGGTTTGAGGCGTGACAATATTAACCCTTCAAATTTTCCTTTCTCTCTTTTAGCTTACTTTCCATCCTTGTACTTCTCCTGGCAATTTCATTCTAATCCTTAATTGCTGCACAAAGTATGAATATTTTATAGAATCCACCAACTTTAGTTCTCATAACATATTACTTTTGTTGATAACCACAAAAGTTGAGAATATGAAATGTAGGTGGAAATTATGGTGTACTTGCCACTGTACCACCATTAAGTTATATATCCTACAAATTAAAAGCAAGTTATGTGGTATCGTACTGGAAATATTTCATCACTACTATGTCATTTGTTTATCAACAATTTTTGAAATCATTAAAGCATTGACAGTTTTAATGTTTTTCATATTTGGGAAGCATTCAAATCAAGCACATAATCATTTTCGACAAAACTTATTTATGGAGCAAGATTTTAAATATTAGGAGTAATTATTTAACTGAAAATTATATATATAGGACAGGAAGTCAAGCCCCTAAAATATTAGGAGAAAAATAAATAATGAGTAAGGACCGGAAGCAAGTAGCAATAAGAAAAGCTAAACCTGCAGAAGATACAGTTAGAGTGCAAAAAATTAAATTAGGCGGCATAAAATGCGATAAAGTAAATTAGGTAGCTTAGCCAACCATAATGCAAGAGTATTATAAATGTAAACTTGATTGTTATTGAAATTGAAAAATTGATATTACAAGTTAAAAACTTATAATAATATACTAGATCAAGAGTTCTAACCAATTCTAGAGAGGGAGAAAGTTCTTTCTTAAGTGAGAGTGTAATGTAGTGTATTTTACAAGTGATAGGGGGCTATTTATAGTCAAAAATTGAAAATTACATAGTATTTTTTAATGTTATTGATGATGTCATTAGAAGTAAGTGCTAGATAATTTCATGAATGATGTCACTATGATGTCAATGTGTTGTCACACTGATGTAATTTCTGATTAATTTCTCAGAACATTAAATTAGTTTCTTCTTCTTCTGATGATTTTCAAACGAAGATGCTCGACTATGTTGACCTGGAACTTGTGTCTTGAGGAAATTAAGAATTTTTTTTTATTTACTGAATAAAATCAAGCTTGCTGCTGGAACTGGCTAGTTGTGTAACTGCAATAGATATTTGTTGTAAAAATAAAATTTGGGCAGCATTTGTTATAACTAGATACTGTAGATGAGATAAAAATTATTTGTCTACTGCTGGCACATAGGCTTAAGATGAATCCCACATTTTATACCACTTGCAGTGGCCTTGGAGGGCTAACCATTGTAGTTCTTTGTGTTCTTCTGGCTTGTGAAAGAAAATCATTTGGGATTATATCCACAAGTTATGAAATCTTTGGAAAATTGGAGGAGTATGGATATTTATTGCTCACTCGAAATCCCGTGGCAAAAATAATCATATCTTTTTTTTACTAGTGAGTGGAGGATTTCAGCCTTATGTCAATAAGCATGCCACCACTGATGTATAAACCACTGAGAAAATTCAGAGGTTAATTGTTTACTCCAGAGGATAAAACATGAATGCTTTCCAAGTTGGTTTTGGAAGGTGAAAGCATTCATCCACGCTGCCTGGTAGTCATAATAATTGTAAAATTGTAGATCAAAAGGCTAAGAAAGTCTTTTGAATTTGGCTGGATGAGTTCCCCATTCTTTTGGTTTTGAGGGGTTTAAACAAGCAGGATCCGGTATCTGTGAGAATGAACTCATAATATTTTTGGGTATGTTTGGGAGTATTTTGTATGAAATTGGTTGAATGGCTAAGTATTTTCTTAACTACCTCTTGGGGGTTGGAATGCCAAAATTCTGGTTCAATTTAAATAAGTGGATAGATACTTTCATTTTTAATATAAGTGGGTTTCTCGGAGGAGGAGCCTTTGCTTGAAGAAATAAGTTGTAGCACCGGTGAAAAAAGTGCCTGATTGGTTGTATTTTTTGGGATGTTTGAAAGACATCAAGTTGCTGCAATGGGGCTTTTAGCATCCACTTCTTAAGAAATAATTGGAAGTGGTCTTATGTGAAGCCCCTAAAAGATATATATATATATATATATNCCTAGTGTGATTTACATTTCTTATGTGGTTTACGAGATATTACACAGTGAGCAGGTTACCCAGTGCTAATCGGAGGTTAGCGACCGGAGGTTTCTTTGAGAATTTTCCAGAAAGAATGAACTTGTCATGCAAGTTGCAGATCTGTTGTGTATACCACAAATATGGGGATGTTATGATGAAAGTTATCACTTTAGAATTTACTATTGTTTTGCTGGGGATCTCATGATGAAACATTTGACTTATTGACGTCTTGATTAGTACTCTTTCTCTCTTTAATTTTATGTGAAGGGATTTTGCTTAGGAACAAAGTATTTGATTTATATAATGAGTAAATGATGATGGAAGATAATATTAAGATAGTGCTCCAAAAGACAGCAAAAATCATATTGAAATTAAAGGATATATAGTTTAATGAATTTTATTTGATTTATATAATGAGTAAATGATGATGGAAGATAATATTAAGATAGTGCTCCAAAACACAGCAAAAATCATATTGAAATTAAAGGATATATAGTTTAATGAATTAAAATTCTGAAAAGTTGTATAAAAATAGGATAATTTCAAGCATTTTGAAACATACCAAAATAGAAAGAGTGTCATATATGGAGAATATAAAGTTAAAGAAACAACTCAAATATTGTGTCCTAAATAGTTGAAGTTAAATTTGAAAACTTCTTTTGTTTATCGGTGGCAACTCTCGCACTGTGAAAAGGGAAAGGAAAGGAGCTGGGATAAAAAAAAATTATTAGAATCAAAAGCTACTTTTCTATTTCTCTAAAATGATTGATATCTTGATCTTTAAACTTGAGTTGGATTAGGTGAAAGCATGGTGCCATAATAATTAGAAGCACTATTTAGTGGAAGAAAGCAATTAATTACTTTTAGAAACTTCTGTTTGAATTTATTTATTATTATTATTTTATTTTTTTACATCAGTGGCTATAATGCCAAGTTTTATTCCAAATGTACTCCTGCATTCGGGATGATGGAGAATATGCCCTTCTAATTTAGCTTCCCGATTCCCATGGTCAAACACTTAGCACATTATTTGTTAGGAATAAAATAAATATATGTTCATATAGCGTATGTGATTTACTTTGATTTAAATAGTAACGTCAAAATGCATTCACCATCTTCTCAAGTTTAATAATAGTAAAATGATAAAATTATGTTACTGAGAAAGTTAACGTTAAAATTTAAACAAAAGTTTATCTAGGTTAAAATCAAATAATTATTTTAAATTATATCATGCATATTGCATTTTAAACGATGGACCAAATAAATTGTAAGTATTAAATAGTTCAAGAATTACTACTCCTATTATTATAATGCCTGCATTATAATTCCAACATAATTTTGTTCGCAAACCAAAATCTGTCAGTGTAAAGATTCTATATCCATCATTCTTCGCTCCTATATATATATATATATATATATATATATATATATATATATATATATATATATATATTGGCCATCGCCTTTCACAAGGCTACCAAGAGCTTCATTCTCTTTTGAAACCAACATTTTAATAATTTATTCATCCAATATCAAATACAAATGGCTATCTCGAGAAAGCTTGTTAAACCTCTTTCTCTGCTGCTCCTTTACATGGTATTATTAGCAGAATCGCCACCTCGCGCCGAAGCGGCAATCACATGCAGCACGGTGGTCAACAGCCTAATTCCGTGCCTTAGCTACGTCATGAACGGCGGCAAGGTGCCGCCGACTTGCTGCCAGGGGATTAAATCCCTCTATGGCGCCGCGAAGACCGCGGCGGATCGCCGGAGTGTTTGCTCGTGTTTGAAAACCGCTGCCTCAAGTGTTAGTGGTATCAACTTTAAGAATGCTGCTGCCCTTCCTGGCAAATGTGGCGTCAAAAATATTCCCTTCAAGATTAGCCCTAAAGCTGATTGCTCAAAGGTGAAGTGAAAGACGCACAATGTATGGGAATATATATAATATATCAAGCAAAACTGAACTCATGTCAGTGATATACATGTTGTCTATGACATAGAGTGAGAATAAGAGTTTTATTGTCTCTAATCTTGTTAAGAGATATTTAAATGTGTATTTGTGATTGTCTTTAATTTGGTTCTCAATGGTTGTGTATCATCCAATGATCACCAATCAAATATTGTGCGGACTCTTTATTAAATAAACCATCGGCCCTTAATTAATAGTTACTGGAAACCCAAAAAAAAAAAAAGTTACTAGAAACTGTTTGGTCTAGGTGATTGAGGTAAAGGATAAGAATGAGGTGCTGAAATGCACTTTTTATTATTGAAACTTAGTTTACAAAAGAACAGTTATGTGTTTGTGTGATCAAATTGATAATAATAAATTGATGTGACTCGATAAAATTATATAATAAATAATTTTCTTGTTAAAATGACTATCTTCGTTACAAAAATAAAAAAAATAAAAAAAATTAAGAAGTATATGTTCAAGGAAAAGAACGGATGAGAATGACGAAAATAGAATGGAGAAGGAGTTAAGAGTTCTATTTTGGAAAGAATATTTTTAGATTAGAAAAGATATTAGGGATAAATTGGTAAATTTGCAAAGAACTAGTATCAATAAGGAAATTCACAAAATTAATATTTTGTAAGTTGTAAGGGCTAATTTTAGGCTTCTTGGATTAGCTCTGACAAACTCTTTCAATGTGTGAAATAACGGTCTCAATTAATTTTGACTTAAATTATTTGTAATTGATATAAATTCACAAACAAACTTGTGAGACTAATCAAGCATTCCTTCATTTCTTAGTCTCGTCATCTCTAATCTTCAGAAACAACATGTTTTTTTGGTTGTAACTAAATTATTTTTAAAAATCACTACTAAAAATCCGGAAAAAAGCGACCAAAAAGCGACCAAACACGCCTGCTAGCTATATTGATGGTCCCTTTTATTTAGCGAACAAAGTTGGTCGCTATTTAGCGACCAACTTTGGTCTCTAAGCTAAAAGGGCCAAATATTCTGATTTTGACTTTAGTGACCAACTTTGGTCGCTATATTAATTTAATAATATAAATTTGACGACCTAAGTTGGTCTCTACATATGAAATACGTTGTTTTTAATTTATCATTAATCATTAGAAAGCGACCAACTTTGGTCTCTAATCCAAATATTATATTTTAAAATCTGGACAATAGAGACCAAAGTTAGTCGCTAAATTCAAGATTTTTTTTTTAAAGATAAGCGACCAACATTGGTCGCTATATTTCCAGAAATTGTATTTTTTTAATAGAAATCTGGGCAGGTAGCGACCAAGGTTGGTCGCTATTGCCCAGAAATTTATTTTTTTTTATAGTGAAAAGCGACCAAATAGAGACCAAAGTTGGTCGCTTTTCTTGGTATATTTTTGGCAGAAACTGCCTGTTTTGGCAGCTACACTACCTGCAGGCTTACCAAACATCCTAAACAGGCATTTTATGCCAGCAGCAACAACAACAACAATTAAAAGCAACAATCAATAGAACTAACACATTAAGCTAACAAAACTAAGTTAACGCTTATTACAAGCNTAAACTTCTTTTCCTATTGGAGAATGAAGTACAGAATTACTCTATAAGCTCTTCTTTTATCTACTTAGGAAATACTAAATTCCTACCTACACCATCACTATTTGAAACACTTTCCATTGCCTTCTCATCATCATCNTGTCGCTAATGAGAAAAACAATTAAAGGCACACTTTACCAGGTACTGTGTCTTAGTTATTCTTGGTGGAAGTTCTATTGCATGTCTAATAACGTCATCAACCTCTTCTAATAATC